TGTCTTCTGAGCTTATTAAAAAAAAGTGGGGTACGAAGGGACCAGCAGTTAGCGTAATGGCTATGTCACTGGACTCCCACGTAGTTGACCACAGTTAGTGTCCCGGACCTAGTGACTTAAAACTCACGCCGGGTGCATGTGCGTGCATGCCCAAGATCCCGAGAGGAGAATGGAGGAGAAGGGATTGCGGCGTGACCATCCCCCCAGGGGGTGATTTCTCGCTTTCTGTCTCTATGTCTCTGTCTGTCTGGCGAGCGCACGTGCCCTATAGCAAAAACCTCTCCAAAAATAAAAATAAAAAAAAAAAGTGAGGTACAATTATTGATGTAAGCTAAATTCGTAACCCACATCCACCATGTGAGAGAATACATGTTTTAAACCAATACTTATAGCTACACAGCAATGAATAAGCAATGTATCTGTTTTTTCAGTTCATTAAAAAAAATTGGAAGGATGCCCAGCAGACGGCATAGTGATAGTGGTTACATCGCTGGACTCCCACATGGCCAACCAGGTTTAAACCCTGGACCTGGTGCTTGAAACTCACCAGGTGCATATGCATGCATACCCAAGAATCCAGGAGAATGGAGCAGAAGGGATTGTGGCATGGCCATTCCCCCTGGGGAGTGAGTTCTCACTTTCCCTCTCACTGTCTCTGTCTGTCTCTCTTTCTAGTAAATACATGTGCCCTAAGGCAAAAACCTCTTAAAAAAAAAAAAACAATAGAAGTGCTGATATGTGGAACTAAACTAGATGTAGATATTGTAAATATTCTCTACAGAAAAATTATACAAAATGCCACAAAATCTACAGAATGTAATCAAGAAATTTTTATGGTATTAAGCAAACTTACTATTAAATAAGAAAAAAATATGCAATTTGCAACATGTCATACAGCTAGAAAAGGAACGACATAAATCAAGAGTATATATAAAGAATAGAGATTAAAGGAAAAACAGATAAAGTAATGATTAATAAAATAAAAAATCAATAGTAGGAAATATAAAATCAAGCCCAGTGGGTATAATACTCAGACGCTAGAGTCACATGGAAAATAATGGCTTAGGTTCTGATCACCCTGTAACATACAGGCAAGGGTGTACACAAACAGCCATGATTTCTGATTGGCTGGAAAGCAAGAATAAAGATGGGAGTTGTTGTTTGAAAAGGTCCTGCCAAAGGTGCCTGTTTCTCTTTCAATAAATGAACTTAAAAAAAAAAAATTAGAGGAAGAAAAAGCAGAGGTAAAAATCTTGAAAAAATCAGTATAACAAGATAAATGGAAAGTATACTCAAGATGAATCAAAAAAAGCTATAAGGCCAGGCAGTATTGAGATTGATTTTTTGAGCATTCAAGAAAGAAGTTCAAAGGCATTAAATACTGGGTCGTCAAGAAAGTCATGACATGTTTTTGCAGAGAAAAATATGTTGTGACTTTTCTGACTATCCAGTAATTCCAATGTCTAAAACAATAATGCAAACCTTTTGCCTTTATTCTAATTTTTTTTTTTTTAATTTTTGGAGAGGTTTTTCCTATAGGGCGCGTTTGCTCACCAGACAGACAGTGACAGAGAGATAGAAAGCGAGAAATCATCCCCCAGGGGGGAGGGCCACGCCACAATCCCTTCTCCTCCATTCTCTTCTTGGGATCCTGGGCACGCACGCACACACGTCTGGCGTGAGTTTAAGCCACGGGGCTGGGACTTGAACCGCGGTCAACTACGTGGGAGTCCAGTGACATAGCCATTACGCTAACTGCTGGTCCCTTGCCTTCATTCTGTGCACATTGTATAACCCTTGTTAATAAAACTGTACAAAGCTATTTAAAAAAGAATCTTTATATATCAAGCTAAAAGTTCATAAATAGACTCAAAGACCCTCAATCAAGTATTTATTAGTAAACAGCATAGGCAAGTAACAAAAAAATTTCTTATAAAAGTAAAAGCTTGGATCTTTAATTTGAAATATCGCAGATATAAAAGTTAGATTCCTTCAAATGTAAAGTGTTCAGTTTTATTCCCCAAATTATCAATGTAACCACTGAAATATGTTTATACTGACTTTGTTCAACTACATATGCTTATTGATAAAAATAAGTACATATAGTTGGTTGTCTGAGCTCACTGCTTCATCCGAGATATTACAAATAATGTGGGTCAGCTCTATAGCAGAGCACAGACAGCAGTGAGGTCCTGCTCAAGGATAACGGATCGCCACATGATACAGGTGGTTCAAATCTCTGGCCCAGCCAGTCCCAAACATGCTGAGCACCTGTGCAAGTACCCAAGCTGCAACAGGCTGGAGGGATGGAGGAAGGGAATCAATATCCAGACCCTATGAAGAGTGCTCAGATCTCTCTCTGTTATGTTCCCTATCATAAATAAGTTTTTAAAAAAGTCTTGTTTCAGTGATTACTGTATTAACTTATTAAACTGAAAAGTTACATTTTTTTCACATGTTAAGCTGCATTTTTAACTATCAGGGATAAGTGACAAAATTATTGAATGATATCCTGATGTTAAAACAAAATAACTTAGGGGGCCAACAGGTGGGGTAGTGGTTATGATGCTGGACTCTTGCATGGCTGCCAGCAGCTCAAGTTCTGGAATTGATGGCTTGAAACTCATGCTGAGAGAATGTGAGTTCATGCCCAAAATCCTGAGAAGAGAATGGAGGAGAATGATTCGGTGTGGCCATCCTCCCCACCCCGGGGGAGGGGGGGTGGGGCGGGGCTAAGACGCTGGACTCCCACAGGCTGACTGTGTTTTGAGTACTGGACCTGGTGCCTTGATTTCTCACTTTTCCTTTGTCTCTCTGACTCTCTCTGGTAAAAATAAAAGTAATAAATAATAAATTAAATAAAATAAATATTTTTTTTAAAGTTAGGAAAGCAACAAAATAAACTCTATCTTTAAAATCCAATTCTTCATAAAAAAATGTGCACTTTTTAATCAAGAAAAAATGAAATGAGCTACCAAATCTTTCGAACAAAAGCAAAGTGCTTTGCTTTGTTAATAGTCTGGGTTGATTATATTATGATTAATAAAACTACCAACTAATGGGACCAGCAGTTGGTGTAATGGTTATGTCGCTGGACTCCCGTGTAGTGGACCACGGTTTGAGTCCCAGGCCCAGTGGCTTGAACTCACGCTGGGCGCGTGTGTATGTGTGCTCAAGATACCGAGAGGAGGATGGAGAAGTGACTGTAGCATGGCCAACCCCCGGGGGCTGATTTCTCGCTTTCTGTCTGTCTGTCTCTGTCTTTCTGGCAAGCGCACGCGACTTATAGCAAAAACCTCTCCAACCCCCCCCCCCAAAAAAAAAACCCAAAACCCAAAAACCAAAATAAAAAACCTGACAACTAATAATGGTCCAAGCACTTATTGAAAAGTACTGTACTCAAAGGCTGTATTTCTAAAAGGCTGTACTCAATTCTGTATAGCCTTGCATCCAGCAAAAGGAAGTAATCACAGATATGCATTATGAGGATGCTTAATATAACAGATTGCAAAAAAAAAGAAAAGTAAAATATCCTGTAATAGAAAATTGCTTAACCAAGTCATGACACATATACAATGAAAAGATAATTAGTCTTCAACACCTATACTCTGGGCTAACGTTTTTAATATTAAAAGGGGGGGGGGCAAAAAATATAAAGTTTTGACAATAATCCCATGGAAGCTTCCAAAAACTCAGTTCACATTTTCAGGGACCCTTGAATACAGGCCCTTGAATTTTGCCACTCATGCGATCATCTTTAACCTTGACCTAAATAAATAAACTCTTTTGCTTTACTTACTTTGTCTCAGCATTTCTCTTAGGATGATAAGGTTTTCTGTATTAGCATATAAGGCACTTGGAAGCTGACACTCTCGCACAAGAAAAAAGCTGAACTGAAAACCAGCATGTAGATCTATCAAAGAACTGAACTCACGGAGTAAATTGTTTCCCCAAATCTGGAGAAACAGAATCAGAGCTCATAGCAGCCGGAGGAGAAACTGCATTGGAGCTAGTTCTAGGTTACTACTGAGCTCAATACTGACAAGTTTAAGAGTTTAAAACTCTAGTGGAACCCAGTCTTAGGAAGTAAACAAAATCTACACTGAGTTTTTTACCTCCAGTAACCCTACCCAATTTTAATTGAGAGTATCAGAGAAAAATTCCCTCGTGCTTTATCAGGGAGAGGGAAAAAGCAGCCATGCTGAAATATATCCAGAGCATCCTTTCCCCATAACACAGCTGTTCTCAAGGAAAACTAGTTTACCAGAACCTAATAGACTGGGGTTTTATCAGAGCCTAACATATCTGGGAATGTGAAATACTCTAGCCCCCTCTAATCTTCCTGATATGCCTATTATAAAATCCTAAAATAAGGGTGTGTAGGGAGGACCTGAAAGGTGCTTGTGGAGGTAACAGCCGATGGCACAGGCTAACATACAAAAAACCCCTCAGAACTAATAGGAATATAGAATGGATTCCCCTTTCCCCACATTTTACCACATCAATAAAAAGGGATCACAAGTGAAAGACCACCTTGTAGCCCTTATTCAAGAAATCCCTAAGGAAAACCCAAACAGGGGACATAAAAACAAAGATATAAGAAATTGTAGCCTCCAGATCTACAGCTAGAGTAAATAATGAACACAGCTTAACTGAAAGTACATAAACATGGTACCTTACACTAAAGATTTATTTATCCCATTCCTTATACCCAGTACACAACTGCTTTTCAGTAAAAAATTATAAAGTATACTAAAAGACCAAAAAAATACATTCCTTGAAAAGACAGGGATTACAACTAGATATAACAGATTATGAAATTATTAGACTAAAAATTTAAAACAATTATGACTAATATGTTAATATGTTAAGGCTCTAATGGAAGAAGTTAACAACCTACAATTACAAACAAGTAAGAAAAACAGAAAGATGTAAACTCTAAGGAAGAATCAAAAGGAAATGCCAAAAGACAAAAACACTGTAACAGAAATAAAAAATACCTTTGATGGGCTCAACAATGTGGATATGACCCAGAAAAGCAGCAGTGAGCTTGAAGATATGTCAACAGCAACTTCCAAAACTGAAATGAAGAGAGAAAAAAGAATGAAAAAGATGAAAAAAGAGTAAGAACCGAGACAATTACAAAGGTGTCCAGAAGAAGAAAGAAAAAAGCAGAAGAAATATTTCAATGACTGAAATTTTTTCCAAAATTAATTAGACATCAACCTATAGTGACAGGAATTTCAGAGAACACAAAACAGGATAGAGACCTAGAAATTCATGCTTACACATATCATATTCAAATTATAAAATATCAAAGACAAAGCCAGGGCAAGTTGGGGTGACTAGGGAGAGACACCTTGCTTAAGAGCAATAATAATTACATCAGACTTTTCATCAGAAACATACATATAATAAGAAAATGGAGATATTTTACATGGTAATAGACAACAACAACAAAAAAGCCTGTAGCTTTTTTTTTTTTTCCCCCTGCCGGCCACTCTTTGAGGAGTCTCTCTCTCTCTTTTTTAAGTATTTTAACTTTATTATTTATTTATTTAAATTTGACCAGAGAGAAACAGAGTGCGAGAGAGCAAGAGAGATGGAAAGCGAGAATGCAAGCCACCAGGTCCAGAACTTGAACAGTGGTCGGACATGTGGGAGTCCAGCACCCTTAACTACCATGCCACCTCCAGCCCATAAAATTCTTTAAGGGAAATTATCCTTCAAGAGTAAAGGAGAAGGACCAGCAGAAGACATAATGGCTACATCATGGACTCGCACATAGTTGATAGATGTAGGACTTTCAGACCCTAAAGCTTCGAACTCATGCTGGACATGTGTGCATGTGTGTCCAAAATCTATGTGTATGCGTGCCCAAAATCCTGAGAGGAGACTGGAGGAGAAGGGATTGCAGCATAGCCATTACCCCTGGAGGGTGATTTTTTGCTTTCTCTGTCTCTCTAGCAAATGAATCCTGTAGCAAAAATCTTTCTAAAGAAAAGAAAAAAGTGGAGAAATAAAAAATTTCCCAGAAAAACAAAAAATGAGGGCAATTGTTTTCTAGTAAAGCTATTTTACAATGAAAGAACTTCTTCAGAAAGAAGGAAAACTCTTATTTCTTGTTGATCAGACTATACCAAAATTAAACTAAAAATGACAGAAAGCTGGAAATACAAAAATATATAGAGATTAAACAATATATCTCTAAATAACAGATAAAAGCAAAGAGGGAATCTCAAGGAAAATAAAGTTATTATAAACAACAGAAACATAAAAATAGAATTTAACTAAAATTACAAGACAAAGCAAAAGCAGTCTATAAAGGGAGATTTATAGCATTGAAGGAACATATTATACCAGGAGACCTAAAACCATTCATCTAAGCTTCTATGTTAAGAAACTAGAAAAAAAAGGCAAATTAAAACAAAATCAAGCCTAAATAAATAAAGAAAAACAAGAGCAGAAATCATTCAATTTGAAAACAGGAACTCAATCAAGAAAATCAAGAAAATTTAAAAAGTGGCTCTTTGGGACCAGCAGATAGCGAGCGTAATGGCTATGTTGCTGAACTCCCATGTAGTCTACCGCGGTTCAAGTCCTGGACCCAGTGGCTTAGAACTCACACCAGGCACGTGTGCATGCGTGCCCAAGATCCCAAGAGGAGAATGGAGGAGAAGGGATTGCGGAGTGACCATTCCCTTAGAGGATGAGTTCTCATTTTCTCTCTCCCTGTCTCTCTGGCAAGTGCATGTACCCTACAGCAAAAATCTCTCTCTCTAAAAAAAAAAGTGACCCTTTGAGGGCCAGCCCAATAACCTACAGGTTAAGGAAGCCAGATCAAACGTAGCCGACCATGGTGCATCCTGACACTAGTGATTTGAGAAACATTCTGGCTGCCTGTGCATGGTGCCCCAAGTCTCAAAAGGACAAAGAAATGGAGGAGAAAGGATTGTGGTGTGACTGTATTCCACTGGGGGAGGAGGTTGCGTTTTCCCTCTCCTCCTCCTCTCTCTTGTCTCTCTTTGGGAAGTGCAGCCCCCCACTGGCAATTAAAACAAAACAAATAAAAAGCAAACACAAATTCCTGATTCTTTGAGAAGAAATTGCAAGTTATTGTGGGGCTATGACAAACTGATCTCAAAGTTTTTTAGAAAGGCAAAAGACCCAAGAGAACAAACACAATATTGAAGGAGAAAAGGAGAGCAAAGTCAGAGGATAGAAACCACAGTTCAAGACTTAGTATAAATCTACAAGAATCAATACTGTGTAGTGATAGTGAAAGAATAGACAAATCAATGGAATGAAGTAGGGAGTCCAGAAATGGACCCACATAAATATAGTCAACTGACCTTTGACAAAGATGTAAATGCAATTCAATGAAAAAGAAGTCTTTTTGACAAATGGTGCTGGAACGACTGAAATTCACGTGCCCAAAAATAAACTCATGCAACTCTTACAACTTTCACAAAAATTACTCAAATGGATCTTAGATTTGTATATATAAAGCAAAACTATAAAACTCCGAAAAAGTAAGATAAAAGAAAATCTAAGTGACCTTGGGTTTGGTGACAAGTTTGTAGACACAACACCAAAAGCAAAATTGATAGAAAAAAAAAAAGATACACTGCACTGCAATAAATGACATTGTTAAATGAAAAGACATGCCACGGACTGAGAGAATATGTCTGAAAAACACAAGATGAAAGACTGATGTCCAAAACATACAAATAACTTTTAAAATTTTTTTAAGAATTATTTATTCCATTTAACTTTATTTTATTTTTAAATCTAACGAGAGAGCGAGTGAACAAGCCACCAGGTCTGGGACTCAAAACCATAGTTGGCCACGTGGGTGTCCAGTGCCCTCAACCACCATGCCACCTGCTACCTGAGAACTCTTAAACTTGAACAACGAGGGACCAGCAGTTAGCGTAACGGCTCTGTCGCTGGACTCCCATGTAGTCGACTGCGGTTTGAGTCCCGGACCTGGTGGCTTAAAGCTCATGCCGGGCACATGTGCGTGTATGCCCAGCATCCTGAAAGGAGAATGGAGGAGAAGGGATTGCCACGTGGCCATCCCCCTGGGGGATGACTGCTCACTTTCTGTCTCTGTCTGACAAGCGCATGTGCCCTATAGCAAAAAACCTCTCAAAAAAAAAAAAAAAATTGAACAACAGAAAACACCCAGTTAAAAAATAACAAAGAGTTGGACAAGTATCTCACCAAATAAGGGGTGGCAAATAAGCATACCAAAAGATGCTGAATTCTGCCATTAGGGATAAAGCAATGAGGGGCAGCACTATGGCTAAGTTAAGGCATCTGGTTCCCACATGGTCAACCATGTGATCTGAATTCCGGACAAAGTGGCTTGAAAAACATACCAGGCACATGTGCACACACACCTAATGAGAACTTGCTGAACTTTCCAATCATATATTCTGTATAACTAAAATAGGATTAAAAATAAACTTACTTTATGTAAAGCACTTACTTAGCATGTTTAAACTTAAAATATGTTCTTAAAAAATTCACTAACGAGGCCAGTCAGTGGCATGGTGTTTAAGGCAGCTGGATCCCTCATGGTTGAGTACAGTTTGAGTCCTGGTCCTGGCAGCTTGAAAAATAGGCCAAGACTCTGGGTCTGTATACTCAAACTCTGGAGAAGACAATGGAAGAGGGATTGCAGCAGGACCATCCCACTTGGAGGATGATTTCTCATCCCTGCCTCCCCCATCTCTAGTTGTGAGCCTAAGTGTCACATAGCAAAAAAAAAAAAAAAAACAAAAACAAAAACAAACAAACAAACAAAAAAAACAAAGAAAAGCCAAAATCCTCAATAATGAAGCAGCAAATATTAGTCATTGAAAAGGAAAGATGGAAAGAAGAAACAAAAATCACAAGGTTTATTTTCCAGTACAGACAAAATATGTACAGCAATCTAGACTAAAGATTTTTATCCTTTCTCATGATAATGTGTGAAAAAGTCAGGTGAGACCATAACCTTATGTAACATTTGTGAAAATAAAATGTAAGTACAAAAGACAAATTTCAAGACAGTTAAGGCAGATATTTTTTTTCTCTTTTAAAGGGAGTTTTTTTTACTATAAAGTACGTGTGCTTGCTAGAGAAGAGGGACAGAAAGCATGAAATCACTCCCCAAGGGGATGGCCACACTGCATTCCCTTCTCCATTATATTTTTGGGATTTGGGGAATGCACACACACAGGCCCGGAATGAATTTTAAGCCTCCTTGTCCAGGACTGAAAACAAATCCGACTTCATGGGAGTCCAGTGACGTAACCATTATGTCATCTAATGGTCTCAAGGCAGACAATTTGTAACATGACTTAAAAATCTTTGTAAAATAAAATGTATGGTTAAAATCTGCCTTAGCAGCTTATTACCCTATAGCATGGGTTGCAGAACAAAAGAAAACTGAAAAATACTAGCAACTAAAATAACACTTTTTTGGAGTGTTTTTTTTTTTTTTTTTTGAGGTTTTTGCTACAGGGTGCGTGCCCTCTCCAGAGACAGAGAGAGATAGAGAGACAGAAAGCGAGAAATCACCCCCCAGGGGAGATGGCCACACTGCAATCCTTTTTCCTCTATTCTCCTCTTGGGATCTTGGGCACAAACGCAAACGTGCCCGGCGACATAGCCATTACTCTAAGTGCTGGTCCCCTGGAGAGGTTTTGTGTGTGTGTGTGTGTGTGTGTGTGTGTATTATAAGATGTGTATGCTTGCCAGAAAGACAGAAAGCGAGAAATTACCCCCCAGGGGGGATGGTCATGCTGCAATTCCTTCTCCTTCATTCTCCTCTCAGGATCTTGGGCAAGCATGCATATGTGCCTGGCATGAGTTTAAACCAGTGAGTGGGTCTGGGACTCTAACTGTAAAGTCCGGCAACATAGCCATTACAGCAACTGCTGGTCCGTAAAATAACACTTTAAGACTCATTCTTCTGGTTTTTTTTTTTTTGTTTGTTTTGTTTTGTTTTGTTTTTTTAGAAACTGACATGTCTCAAGAACATTTACAAGGAGCCCTCAAAAAGTTCATGCAAAATGTGTATTTTGAGAA